GAGCGAGGAGGAGGAGAATGGTGGAGGGCCCCATAAAGGGGGGAAATGAAAGAGAGTCAAAGGGAAAGTGAGCTCCTTGACATAATTTCTGGAACCATCTTGTCATGATTTCTTATTTGCACGACCAGTACTTCTTAACCTGGGCCGACTCAAGGAAATGAGGGATTCTAGCCATTTTCACTGCTTTTTGCCATAGTGGTAAGAGTGTTGAAATGACTGTACAACTGCATGGTAGTACTTTCAATTGCAGTAAAAATTCCATTTTCTTTTCACTTTCAGTCTTGCTTGGTACCATTATAGATACAAGTACCTCACATTTTTCAATTTATCCCTAAACTTAAAAATTACATTTAAACATGTAAAGAATTTGAAAGATAAATGTATCCTTGTCCATAATTTCACCAGTTATAAATGTTGCTGACATTTTGAGGCAGTTCTATCCATATTTTTAAAAATAATTTTGTTGGAGGAGTCTTCTAAAAATACTTTTAAAACCATATTTGGAGAAGCATCAGTGAAAGAGTACATTCAAGGAAGTTGCATGGGGCCTTTTAGAGGCAAATTGTATGCACACCGTTTGAAACTAAGTGTACCCTGTTAATCCATACAGACAGATAAAAGAACTAACATTGGAATAGTCTTCACCCAGAGATAGTGCTGTGTAGTTTTTACCAGGTCAAGAAGTTTGACCTGATGCTGCCTACTGTTTTATGATCTATTAAAAAAGGTTACATACATACATTCATCTAACACACATAATAAAACATTCTAGCTAGTATAGTTATTTTGATATGAGAGTAATTTGTTTACAAATTAGTTTTTCTGAGTTAAATCTTAACTTCACTATAGGTATGTAATGGAAGAAATAAATATAATAGCAATGACATCTTTACACAAACATTTTATCAAAGTCATATTATAAGACTGTGTTTTTGTTTGTTTTGTTTTTTTAAATTAAATATCTTTAAGGTATGTCTTGAGTGTGGAGAAGATTACTGTTCAGGATGCTTCGCTAAAATTCACCAGAAGGGGGCACTGAGGTTCCATAGAACAACTCTTTTGCAGGTATGACTTTAAAATGCTTTACTGGTAGTGTATTTATAGAACATTTCAACACAAAGACATTTAAAACATGCTTAATTATTGAGAATTTAGGATGATTTACACTAATTTCTAAAATTATATTATGTACAGACAGTCTTTACATACTTGAAATGATTTTACTGAACACTAATCTGAATTCTATTTTGCTATTTAAACTGTGTTTTAGTATAGTTCCTAAAACACTTACCTTGATTAGAATTTTTATATTATGCATTCTATCTGTGAATTTGACATTTAAAAATTAGCCCATATTTTTAACTATTGTTTTAATTGAACACATGATCTAAGTATTATTTCTATCTAATTTATGTTTAACTTTTTATGTTTAGTTTAAAAATTATTCTTTTATTCTCATTATTATGTAAATAAGCTTATCTCTCAGGTTTCCCCCTATATATTAGAAGCTTTTATTTATTTTCATATAGTCATTGGTTTTTGAAATGCCTAAATTCAAACCATGTGAGCTGGTCTTAAACTTCTCATAATTAAGCAACAAATGTGGTTAAATGTAGATTTGACATCATATGATTTACTAGAGGCCCAATGCATGAAATTCATGCAAGGAGCTCGGCCCTTGCAGCCCTGGCTTCATCCAGAAGGTCGTCTGGAAGGACATCCTGAAGTTTGTTCGGCTGTCTAATTAGCATATTATGCTTTTATTATTATAGA